AGTGTATTTTCCATCTCTTTAGTTACTTTAGTTTGCATAGGAATGGAACTTGCTGATGCAAAAGTCAATAAAAGCAGTTTGGAAGTACATAAGAACATAAGATTTGCTGGATCCATCTAGTCCACCATCCTGAGTAACACAATGGGCAATCAGTTATTCTGGAGGACCAACAGCACAATTTAGAGATCAGGGCCCACCCCAATATTGTCTCTTAAGACTGGGATTCTAGGGTTTACTGTCTCTGATAATCAAGTAGCTGCATTCTGTATCCACTGAAACTATGGTAGTGGTTTGCAGAATTAGTAAATAAATAAATAAAAATAACGTGCAGATGCCACTTCCTCTTTAATGTCTAGTTTAGAATTCTAGTTAGCATGAACGTTGATGCTGATTTAACACATGGCCTTAAAGTTGGAGGGAAGGGAAAGAGCGATGCTGGTGAGGAGATGGATTGGGAGAGAGGGCATATGTTCCAGTTCTCTTCATACTCACTCTTCTCCCCACTGGGGACCAAGGTTCACTCTAAGCTACGGAGTCTTGTGATCAAAAATTCTACTATGTGAGCTACTGGCATTAAAGATGTGAGCAAGCAATTTGGCTACCGCATAAATTAGTTTACTCTGGAGCCATCCTTCCTGAGTTAAGACAAAAACGTGTGAGCCGGAGGCTAAAAAACTGTGAGCTAGCTCACACTAACTCAGCTTAGAGGGAGCACTGCTGGGGACCCAAGGCAGCTTGCAACTAAGTTCTTCCTTCCTTCCTCCTCCTCCTCACAACAACCCTGTGAGATAGATGGGGCTGAGAGAGAGTGATGGTCCAAAGGTGTGCCAACTGTGGTCTTCAGGCAGCTGTCTGTTGGCTGTTCCACCACGCAAAGTTGGCCTATCTGGTGATGACTAGAACCCAAGCCTTTTCCATCGTGGCTCCAGCTCTGTGGAATGGGATCCCTGTAGAGAGGGAGGGGCCCTCCTTGGAGATCTTTTCGAGACACTGCAAGGCCTGCTTGTTTGCCAGGGTTTTTGAGGGAGTTTGAATTGGCAGGCATCTTTTAAGGCAGGGGAGGGGAGAGGTTTGGGTTTTGTTGTTATATTTTTGGTTTTTAAACTGAATTTTTTTTAAACCAGTATTGTAAGCTGCCTTGAACTACAAGGACAGGTGGGATATAAATATTTCAATAAATAAAGATCACCCTGCAAGCTTCCATGGTGGAGTGAGGATTTGAAGCGGGATTGCCCAGTATTCGAACCCTGCTGGCTCCTCACTAGGCTGCACCATCTTGCTCTCCTGAGATAGCCTCTAGACATCCTATCAAGACAAGCTTCAGGAACTTTAGCTATGGTTTGGCATGGCGTCAGATTGACAAAGTGTGGTTTTCGATCTTTCAGAAGGCCTGATGCGGAAGCCAAGGTTTGCAATTTATGATGGACAAAACTACAGTGGCTCTGAAGTGCTAGGCAAATGGGAAGTGAAAACAAGACTACGAACTCTGACATGTGGTTTACCTGTTCTAAGTTGAACACACACATGTGCTATGTTGCCTTAAACGAAATCAGACTAGTGATCTATCAAGGTCAGTCCTATCTATTTACGCTGGCAATGGCTCTCCAGGATCTTGGGCAGAGGTTTATCACTTTGCCTGCTACCTGATTCTCTTGACTCGAGATGCCAGGGGCTGAACCTGGGACCTTCTGCATGCAAAGCCCCTGAGCCACGGTCCCTCCTCTGCATTCTGGAACTTTAATTTGGATTCAGATTATGGTTTACACATACCTGGGTTTACACATACCTGGGTTGATATATCCGAAATGAGCCATAGTCAGAGATGTTCTGCAACTGGAGACTTCAATATTTCCCCCCTGAAATTACGCCTTGACCCTCTGACTGCCGTTCACAGCACCATGGGAACTAAGCTTTTTCTCCCACTCCTTGCGATAGTTTTAGATGTTGTTTTTACTGAAACACCTCAACAATAATGACAAGTTAAGCGCTTGGGAAATCCATGGATTAAACTACCTGTCCCGCCCACCTAATCCAAATAGCTTCGAGCTTCTTCTCAAGGCTTTTGTCTTTTTACTACCTGGCAAGCATGCCCGTTCAATACAAATTTGTCACATTCACATACTGCACGTTAGTACTCATGTGCAATATTGAACAGGGCTGTTTTAAATATGCTGCAAGAGGCCCGGGTATGGAGAGAAAACAAAACAGGAAAAGGAAGGACTGGTGTTCTACATCCCCGGGTGGGTGCACAGAGGGAAGAAAATGAGCTCTTTTCCCCCCTCCCTTTCTGCTATAATGTCGGCGCTATACAGTCTTTTGCTCTGTGGAAACAAATGGTACACTCTTTTGCTTTGTGACTGCTTGTGGAAACTGGTACGTAACCTCCCCCCCACCCCCGGCCAAGGATTTCCCATTGCCTTCAGTGGAGCAAAGGGCTGCATTCGAGGTTGCCACCTCTATTGAAGGCTTCACTTGCCAGAATTGGATTGTGGTGCACCAGGCTTCTGAAGGAGCTGTGGTGGCTCAAGTGGTTAAGACGCTGAACTGCAGGCTGTGGAAGGTCGGTAGTTCAGCAGTTCGAGACCCGAGTGCGTCGCATGACAGAGTGAGCTCCCGTCTCTGGTTCCAGCTCCTGCCAGCCTAGCAGTTCGAAAGCAAGAAATTGCAAGTAGATAAATGGGTACCACTTCGGTGGGAAGGGAACAGCGTTCCGTGCGCCTTGGAGTTTAGTCATGCCGGCCACATGACCATGGAAACGTCTTCGGACAGCGCTGGCTCTTCGGCTTTGAAACGGAGATGAGCACCGCAACCCTAGAGTCGGACTCGACTGGCTTTCGAGCAAGGGCAACCTTTACCTTTATCTTAGGCTTCTGAACTGAGGATGATTAATTCACCCTGAGCTTATAGCTCTGTGAAATAGGTCACACACTGAGAGTGCAGAAGTTAGGTAAGTGGAAGGTGATGCATACTAGAACAAAAAAAGCCTAATTTTACTTATGTGCTGATGGTGTCGAAGCTGCCCAAGAATATGAAGGAAAGGGATCTTGGGGTTCTAGTAGAGAAAGATGTCGACTCAGTATGTGGCAGCAGCAAAAAAAGCAAACGCCATGCTGCGGATTATTAGGAAAGGGACTGAAAATTATTAGGAAAGAGACTGACCCACATTGGCGGGGAGGGCAGGGGAAAAAGTCGAATCAGTCAATCAGTCAATAAAATAAAACAGCTGATATTGTACTGTCCTCGTATAGAGCCATGGTGTGGCCTCATTCGGAATACTATGCGCAGTTCTGATCTCTGTATCTCCAAAAGATGCTTGTGGGATTGAAGCACTCTTCCTATGAGGAAACACAAAAGAGTCTGAGACTTTTTAGTTTAGAAAACAAGACAGTAGTGATGAGGGCATGGCCATTTACAAAATTCTACATGGGGTACAGCAGGTGGACAGAGTGAGTTTTTCTCCCTCTCCCATAGTATTAGAACTTGGAGGCACTGAATGAAATTTATGGGCAAATAGATACAGGACAGAGGAAAGGAAATAGTTCCTTAGTCAACAAGTAATTAATGTGTGGAATTCACTGCCAGTGGATGTAATGATGGCCACAAGCATAGATGGCTTTAAGAGGGAATTAGACTTATGGAGGGATAGGTCCATCAATGGCTACTAACCATGGTGATTAAAGGGAACCTTCAAGCCAGCATCAGGGAAAGGCTTTGGCTTCTGTGCCCAGTTGTTGGCCCTCCAGAGTAACTGGTTGTCACTGTGAGACAAGATGTTGAGTAAGATCAGGGCTATTTTTGGGCAGGAACGCACAGGAACGGAGTTCCGGCTGGCTCCCGAGTTGGCCACGCCCAGCAGGAACTCATTAGCATAATAGGCCACACCCAACAGCAGAAACTCATTAGGACTGGCTACATTAGGGTTGTGTGGCCTAACATGCAAAGAAGTTTCTGCTACCAAAAAAGCCCTGGGTTTTGACAATAAACAAAGTAAACAGAATAAGAAGCAAAAGGTGGGTGTGGCTGGATGACCACACTTCTGGCAACATGGGGGTGCGGCCTAATAGGCTATTGAGCTGTGCTGTCAGGGGTGTGGCCTAATATGCTAATGAGCTTCTGCTGTTGGGTTTGGCCCATTATGCTAATGAGTTCCTGCTGGGCTTTTTCTACAAAAAAAGCCCTGAGTAAGATAGACCACTGGTATGATCCAACAGGGCTCTTACGTTCTTAGAAAGTAGTTCCAGCATGCTTGGGCATGAGAAGAAAAAGTCGCATGGCATCACTGGTGATGCAGGTTTTTTTTTACAGCTGTTTGGGTTTTAGTGTTGGATATTTTGAAGCCCTTTCTGTGCGGGGGGGTGGGGGTGGAAAGTGCTGTTGCGCTGCAGCCGACTTACGGCGACTGGGTTTTCGAGGCAAGAGACGTTCAGAGGTGGTTTGCCATTTTTGTAGCAGCCCGAACTTCCTTGGAGGCCTCCTGACAAGACTGAGCCAGCTTGGGCTGTCCAGGTCAGGGTTTTCTGTATTAAAGGAAGGTGAAGTTTTTTTAAACTAGCATTTCATATCCTGGGTCCAAGAATATAGTCTGAAAGAACATGGTACAACACCTATGCGTGCCTGAAGCTGGTCAGTGCCTGGCTGAGAGATGGCCCCAGAACCTTATGTGTGCCATCTTGAGTTTCAGATGGGAGGAGTGTGGGATAGAAGCAGTGTTCCCTCTAAGCTGAGTTAGTGTGAGCTAGCTCACAGTTTGTTAGCCTCCAGCTCACACATTTTTGTCTTAGCTCAGGAAGGATGGCTCGAGAGCAAAGTAGTCAAATCGCTTGCTCACAAAGTAGAATTTTTGCTCACAGGACTCCACAGCTTGGAGGGAGCATTGGATAAGAAATAAGTATAAGAAATAAATGGAAAGTGCTAGAGTGCAGAGGCAATCGGCACTTCCCCCCTCTATCCTCAGAAGCAAAAGAAGGCTTACAAAGTGACTCTCTGTGTTTTGCATTCAGGTGGCAGCTTATGCACACATCCCTCCGAACTACCTTCTCAAAATCTGTGAGCGGATTGGACCGTTGTTGGAGAAGGAGATCCCACAGAGCGTACTTGGGGTGCAGACTTTACTGGGAGTGGGGCGGCAGTCCTTGCTAAGGGGTGCGAAAGGTGAGATGGGCATGTCATATATGAAGGCTGAACTTTTGTTTTTATACGGTTTTAAGATCAGCATCCCACTTTATGCAGGTTGTTAAGGGGGTCTACAAAATATTACATCGTATAAAAGAAACAATGCGTAAAGCAAGGAATTTAAGATTAAACCATTTAAGATAAAGGTAAAACTCAATTGCCTAAGTACACCTGGGTTAAAACTCCATTGCTGTTGTTATTTTTGTAAATCAGGTAAATGGACAAATAAGCAGAGATAAAAGTTCACTTTCAGTGTTGTTTCACATTAAGAGCTCAGGTTTTTCATTTCTTGCTTTTGGGATATCCAAAGTTGCAAATTGGGATGGTGTGGGTGGGAAAGAGCTGGTGTTTTGTAGTTCTTGATGTTACAGTTCTGGCAGGCAAAGCCAGGCTTGGTGGCAGAGGTCAGGTCCATTGCTCAGGCTTCCAAACATCTATGAATCTTGTTCCCATAGATTGCAGACACACAGCATGGAAGGGCTCCGCCTTCGCAGCTCTGCACAGAGGTCGGCCTCCCGAGCTACCTGTGAACTACGGGAAACCACCAAATGTGGGTAAGGAACAACTTGCTGAAACTCCCAAGTTTATGTTTCAACGTATCAGCAATTTGAACTGGAATGTAATCTGAGGCCGTCAGTCACTGCAGAACACTAAAATGCAGGGGATAGTTGTTATTCCCTCCACCACATTCCTGTCCTTAATAAGGCTGGAAAGCACCCCAGAAGGCATGGACCTCAGTCCCCTGTGGCAAGGCTGGTCTGTCATCCCCCAGGGCTGCTGGTCTTCACTGCAAATTCTTTCCCAGTGACCAACATGGCAGTAAGTTGAATCTCAAGTTGGATCATTGATTGGAATCATCTCTGGATGCTACTCCACAATTCTGTGTCTGTAGAGCAACTGTTCAGCGTCCAAAGAACATGTGTGTTGGGGGCAAACCCCCAAAGGCCATACGAAAAGAGTGGGAAATACGTCCATGATGCCAGGAAACCAAAGATCAAGAAAATAAATAATGGTTTTAAAATAATAGAGGCGATATTTGGTTATGGTCCAGGCAGATCTTGGGAGTTCA